TTAAAATAGCCTAGTTAATAACTGAAGGGAGGAAGATGAACTAGAAATCTGAAATACTTAAATTATGTGGGCAACTGAACTAAAAAGCACATTCTCCTACTGAGTACATCTATTTTGGAACTGGGAAGTCATGCTCTCTAGCCAGGGTTGTCTTTTGAAAAGTCCTCTCACCTTACAGGCAGAGAACATCACTTTCTACTTGTAAGAAGAATGAGAACCAAATTCTGAAGAAAATTTATTTTAGGTAGGTGTTAGAAGTTTCCCTAAACCTTTCCTGACAGAATTAGTGTGTGGTTTTGAAAGAGTAACAGGACCTGCCATTTGACACTATCCCATTTCACTATGGGAAAATCAAAAAATGTGGTAAGAGGTGCTGGGATGGATAGCTAATATCTCTTGATTTCAAGACACAAACACAAACATGACTGTCCACACACAGCTGTGGTGGGCATGTACTGTTAAGTTTGTACAGTTAAGCACTCAAGTCTGGAAGGCCCAGAATCTTAAGTAGCAAAGGTATCAATTTCTTTGAGAGACGGCTTTGAGATGATGTGAGTAGCCTAGCACTGAATTTTACTCTGCCCAGTTCAGTTAGACTGGATTTTGGTAGGACTGTGGCAAACCTTCTGTAGCCAAACTGATTGTTAAGAAAGCTTTTTTGCTAATGTTGGCTAAACTGACCTACTACAGAAATAAAACCCCGTGAAGTAGAATCAGATTAACAGAAAACTAGGAACTAGCAAATTCCTCCAGGATGCAGAAGACTCTAAGTATTATCAGGAAAAGTCCCCCTTTGCAAATTATCAGCGGGAAAATTGGTTTAGCTGTTACTGCATAGGAATAAACAAAGCAAGTTCAGAACTAACAGCAAACCCCCAGGGCTACAGAGCTCCTTTATTTCCTTAGAGATCCTCCCTGCCTCAAAGCTTTCCACTGCATCTCAGTTCACAGATGAACACTCTTGGCACCAGGGACACTGGGAAAGGGGTTTGTTTCTACAGCTACTCTTATGTCCAGGATCTCCACTGACATCCTTAGTCCCTAAAAAAATGTATGAATTTGCATTTGTAGCTAATTTTAATAATTGTTTTAGAGTTAAATCTCAAGAGTAGAAAGCTATGGAAGTGTTCTGATTTATTTTACAGTTAAACAGGTGTTTTTTGGTGTATTTTTCAAATTCCTTTGAAACAACAGACTGTCAAACTCCACTTACAAAGTGAAGCCCAAATGGGTTAGATGCCTTTTGAAGGGGTCCACATGGAAGAATGGTGTTTTAAATATACATAAGTCACAACAGTAAATATTTACTACATAAATATGATACCTGAACAGTAAAAAAAAAAAAAAAAAAAAAAAAAAAAAAAAGAAAAGAAGGGAAATTTTATGTTTTAAAAAAAAAAAAAAAAAAAAAAAAAGAAAGAAAAGCAGTGAAATTTTATGTTTTATTTGAACAACAGGGAAAGGGTTTGAGGAAAGAGGAATCACAGTGGAGTTCATAGAAAATTGCCTCCTTCATTTCACTTTTTATAGGGACCATTAGTCAAATCTGCTGCTGCATTGATGCACATGCACTGCCCTCCCTGCCACGGTCCGTAGTGGAGGAGAGAAGGGCCACAGCACTGCACAAAGGGGTCCCATGAGCTTTGAGGTTGCAATACAATGCTCCCTTAATGGGGGTGCACAAGAGTTTTACGAGCTCTGGCTTGGAATGCACCAGAAAATGGGGTGGAGCATGAGACAGACAACCAGGGAAACGAATAGGGATAGGGACTCAGGCGAAGAGGGAGGAACGGGGGAGGAACCGGGGAAGGAAAGGGCGTGGCTGTCTCCTCTCTGCAGCTTCTTCAGCCACTCAGAGAGGGAAGGAGGGAAGCGAGCCCCATGAGGCATGTGTGGACATGCCTGGGCAGTTACAACTGTAGGGGAAATCTTACAATGTATATATTTGTAAACACGTGATAACTGTAAAGTCCATATAATGAAGTCCTTTCAATCACTGTATATCTTTTTTCATTCCTGAAATCATTCCCATTCTGATCCTTGGTCCTCCACACCTCCCCTGAGCTTTGCCAGCTGACACCAGCTAGAGCCGTCTGATGCAATTCTCACTTTCCTCCTGCTGTAAGCTTCAGCTATGTTTCTCACTAAGTCTGAGAGGTAGAAAATAACTCTTGCTATCAGAAATAGGTTGTGAGCTTTCACTCAAGTCAATAGTTGAAGAACAGAAGAGCAGAAGGATGGCAATGAAAAGGGCTGGGCTGCTTTGCCACAGGCTTTCTGTGCCACTGAGCAAGTCACTTAATCTCCCTGTACCTGTTTCCCAGCCATATGAGGGATAATAGCTTTTCCTTAGCTTATTGCAGTGTTGTTAGGATAAAGACTTTGAAGAGATTAGGTCCTGTAGCTGGAGGCTTTAAAAAGCACTTTGGATAAAAGAAAATGCTGAAAGCAGCCATGGAGGTCCCAGTGTAAACTGTACCAAAGCCACAGTGGTGTCCTGGCATCCTCCTGGTGTTTGCATCGTGCATCTCCCTTCCCTAGCCTGACTAAGAAAATAATTTCTCCTGTGTAGCTCACACATATGAACAAAAATGAAAGTGTATGTCAGGCAGTTTCCCAAAATATTAGATACACAATCATCCTTAAATGTTCTTTCAGCCAGTGCTGTAATGCAAAGCAGTAACACTGGATATCTCCACTTCTATCTTAGAGTTGAAGCTCCTTTAATTGTCAGAGCTGAGTAGTAAATTGCTTCCAAAATATCCAGGTGAGATGACAAAGCTCTTAGTCATGATTTTGACCTACGAGTTTCAGGCCCAATTAGAAGAACTGAGGATGTCTGAGTCAGCTGAGACCATTTTGCTGAATCACTAGGATAGTTCCTAAATGTTTCTTCCAAGGTTGCTGCATAGATACCCAGGTCCAGCACCTGCTTTCAGTCAGATTGCTCATGTGCTAACTGAGGCAAAATCTGGCATTGTGGAGACTGAAGGTATAACTAATGTTTTATAAAAAACAACCCAGCTGCTGAGGCTCTGGGCAAGTAGTGCTGTTGTCCTGCAGTGAGTGTACTTGGCACTCTCCCAGAGTTTACTCCAGTGCTCTGACATCGCAGAGTGGTTGCCATTTAAGACTATTTGCTAGGGATTTATACTCTTTTTCACCAAGAGTAATAGAATTTTGTTCCCCTTTCAAAATTAATTTGACCTGTTCTTGGGAACGAAGATTCTCAACATCAACAGTAATTTTTTTTCCTTTTCCTAAAAATAAAAGTACAGAGATCTGATGACTAGGGGCCCAGTGATGGAACTTTTATATAGATTTTGCATTCTTTTGTAGCTCCCCAAAATCATGCCAGACTATGAGAAATTATATTTTAAAGTTGTGATGCTTCATGTATTTCAAAAGGAAGCTTCTCCAACATAGTGATAATGTTCTGCATAAATTTCTTTGAATAAAGCTTCTGAGAAATTATAAGCTGATACAACATGGTACAGAGGCAATAATAGAAGAATTATGTAAATGTAGGAAGAATTATGCAAATGCAGGTTGGACTTTCATTCTAGAATTTTGGTTCTAAGATATAACAGAGAATGTCTATGCTTTCAAGTGATGTAGACCTTCAGTTCCTTTCTTTACTAGAAAACTTAGGTTCAAAGACAAACTCTTATTTGGATGCTTGTGTGGGACTGGAGCCACGTCAGCACACTCTTTTGGTGAGTGCCTTCTGCTCAGTGCTCTGACCCACAGGGCCATGAGTGAGGCAGCTGCTGTTACTGTGTAAGGAGAGCACAATTCCAGAGACACAAGGTTTGGAAAGCGTAGCTCTGCACTGCAGGCAGCACGTAGCTCTGGTTACTCTTGAATTAGATTTTATGTAATTAATTAAGATGGGTACGTTAATTACAAGCTTACTGTGCCTTAGCATAAAGATTGTCATCTCTTTGCTAGTTACAGTAACTCCTGCTGGATGAGCAGGGCAGCTGTAAAAACACACTGGTTTTCCCATCCCTTCCTCCCTTATGCAGGAAATGCCCCAGGAAATGCAATTGAAATGAAGTTAGATGGCAGCAAGGATGCTGGAAGAGAACAAACTAGGAAGTGTCTACTGTATGCCAAACTATTTTAAGGGCAGATTGGAAAGGCAAAAAACTGATGACAGTTACCGGGTAGAAAAGGTGCATGGCAGAACTTTTGAGTTATCTCCTAGCTTTGACCAAGAACACCTCTGCTTTTATAAGCTATGCTTACAGCAAACCTCTATGGCAGGGAAAAACACTTCTCACCTGTTCTGTAGCCTCTAGGATGCCAACAGTGCATAGCTCAAGAGAGGAGCTCTCTTGACTTTTGTAGTAATGAAAAAATTCTGCTTGTTTTGATTGGGAAAATGCCCATTTATGTACTTAACTGCAAAGTTTTACAATTTCAGTTTTAGCTCTGTTGTTGTACCAGGAACTCCCTTTGAATTTGTTGATGCTCCAGGGAAGTCTTGTTTTGCATTGTGTGTGATATATATTTTAGTCAGATTCTGATCCTTTGCGACAACTCAGAATAAATCCTGTTGGGATGCTGGCCCAGGGCCATTGATGGAGTGAATCCATTGCAGGTGGCAGCAGCATCTGGTTTTTATGTTTTTAAATAGATGGGTCCTCAAATGATGATGGCTCCGTTTCTTTTCTTGCAACTAAAGCTTGATAAGGTCATTCTGACTTGCAGTTAAAAAGTGAAGTGTAAGTTACAGCAGAGCTGCAGGTCTGCAAACAGCTGCTCCATCTCTGGGAGCCTCTGAGGGTCAGAGTTATCCACAGGGATCTCAGCCCTCAGGCGATGCTGTCAAACTGAATTCTGCAGCTTAAGGTACCTTTGGGGAACTACTTTAGTGCCCCTCAGCACTTCGACAGTGTATTAATGAGGCCATAATTCCAGCAGCAATAATCAGACCCCAGGATGTAAAGGGGAATGATTCACAGAGAAACACTGTGTTCTCTCAGTCTGTCACTATGGGAAGGCATTGGTAATGCATGAGTGGGATTTGGTGATACTTTTCAGTTCACGTGCTTAGGGATTTCCTCTGCAGCTTCAGGAAAGGTTTTATTTCTCTGCAGGAACAAGTGACAGCGGTCGCTTGGAAGGAGAGGCAGGTTTCACAGGTTAAAGTGTGGGTGTGAAAAATGGTGTTCAGGCCAGCAGGTTGATTTGTCTGTACTAACTCATACTCTGAGACAGATCGGGTCAGTTCTTGGATTTTAAGGAACCTTTGTTTTGTCTGTTGTTATATAGCAAGCTGGGGAAAGTCAGTGTGGATGCTTAAGAAAAGAGCTGATGAGCAGGAGACCAGGGCTCTGTTCACAGCATTGCTACAAATATTTGCCTAGGGTCTGTGGCAGATGCTCAAGCCTGGACAGCTGCTCTGGTGGCATTCGGTGACCACCAATGCCAGAGATGACTAACCCCATTCTGTGTGCAATTCTCACCCCCATTGCCTCCTCTAATTCTTTCTCCCCTGCTTTTGTTTATCTTTACTTAGTTAACTTCCAGCCAAACACAAAGAGCAGGAGAGTGCTTCACTCAGCACACTGAGAAGAAATACAGGGTCACAGCCCTGGCTGCTGTAACATTAACACAAAATGCTAAGTGTGTTTCCTTAGCGAGACATAAGCTCTGCCCTGCTAGTCAGGCCTGTGATCAGTTTGGCCATTGGCCTAACTTAGGGTAGATACTCTGAGTTGTTTGCTATTTTAAAAGGCAGCAAGGGAGAGGGAGAGTTTGGTATAGTCCTACTAAGAAACAGTGTAAAAGCTGATTGTGGTATGAGAAGGAATTGAACAGGAGGTTGTGATCCAGGAACAGAAAACATGGGTTGAAACAATGGAAAAGTTCTTCTAAGAGACAGGTACTTTTTACCTGTTCCAGGAAAGGGGTAGTGAACAAGTAAAGATGGTCTCAGTCACTTATATTTTCTGTTTTTTGATCTAGGTCTGCTCCAGCTCCTACCCAAGGTCCCACCAGTGCCGGGGCTGCAGGGCCTTCTCCTGCTACCAATGTGTCAAGCAACAAACGGCTGCAGCAGACACAAGCCCAGGTGGATGAGGTAAGTGGCTCCAAGTAATTTGTTGCTCACCACAAGAGTGTTGCTGTGGTTATTTTTTTTCTTTAAGATGCTCTTCTCCATGATCCAGCAACAGTCGTCTGAAGGAAGTGGATCTGGGAAATGAGGTTTATCAAAGATGGCATTTATGAGGAGCCAGGCAGTACCAGTGAGATTCTGAGTATAAACATCCTTGTACCAGTAACAGTTCTGCAGAATAAATGTGGGCATTGGTGTCAGTTTGGGAATTCCTCCCAGTCAGTCAGGTTAGGAGGATGTATCATAGTGGAACCAGCTCTTTTAATGTGTTCTCATGTTCCTAAAGGTTAGACACTAATCTCACAGACTGTTTTACAGAGACAACCTTTGACTTTTCAGAGGTAGATTTGTCAGAGAATTGTGCAGCTGAGGGCTGTGTTCATTAGCCAGAGCTCTATGGATTAATCATCACAATTTATCCCTAAAGAAAGGCACCCACACGTGATGTCACAACAGCATCTTTAACAAATTCCCACTCCTTTTGTTGGTCTTGGAGGACCATCTGGCTGTTTCAGCTGGGATCCTTAAATTCCTGCAACACCTCGGCTGTAATGCCAGTGCCCATCCAACTGCTGTGGGGATGGAAATAGGTGAACATCCCACTGCTCATCCATGGAGTCCTTGAGCATTCCAGCAGTACAGGAGCAACTGTAACATCCTTGCTCATCTGCTGTGCAGATTTGTGTGCTGGGTATTGAGGAAAGAATTTTGTTAAAGCCCTGCAAAGCCTTAAGTAACTAATTGCTTACTGTTCATGGGGAAGTGGCCAGGGCTTGTGTGATTCTTTATTGCAAATTTAATAAAATACAAATGAGAAAACATGCATAAAGGCCTCTGTTTTCAAAAGCTTCATGTATGCTTTAAAGATAGTAGAGACAACCTCACAACATCCAACTCAAATGCATTACTTAAGATGAATTAAATACACCTGTCAAGATGGGCTTTGTCTTTTTGAGAACTTTTTCTTTGCTGAAGAACTGAAATGGGGACTTTCTGGCTGCAGAAATGTCAAGACCAGTGTAGGAGGCGTGTCCAGGGGTGCAGGGGAAGCACCCAGGGCAGGGAAGCCCAGGGGACATGTGCCGGAATCGATAACCCCATTGGTCACAAGGTCACTTGGTTTTAAGGGATAAAAACAGTGCTGGGTTTGAATTAAACTCTCTTTGATCACCATCTCATCAGAGAGCAGACTACACTTCTTTATTATATAAAGATCCCATGCAACAGACCAGGTTCTCTCATTATCACTGATTTTCACATCACACTCACTTCACTGATGTTAGTAGAGTGTCTCTTCCAGTGGGGAAAGGAATATTACATTTCAGCTTCTATCTTTGGTCAGAATAATGAAATAAACTTCTTATCCTGAACATGTTACATCATAGTGGTCCTATAATTGTTTATGTGAGTGACAGCAAAGTAATTTTCCCTAAAAGATAAAAAAATAATTGCTGTTTATTGTCTAAAAATGAGTGATGCCTGTCAGATACATTGAGCTCTTCAAGCAGATCAATGGAGGTGGCTCCAGTGAGGATAGTGGACCCCTGCTTTTTGCTTAAGATACTCTCTATTCTGAGACTTTTGACTCAGACCCATGCAAACTGGTCTTCTTGTGAAGCATGATGACATAATTTTGGCAGGAACTCTTACCCAGTATGAGGGGATTTGGATTTGAGGATTATGTGGGTGACATTCAGGATCCATGGGGTTTTTGCCTCCCATTTGAGAGGGAGGCTGCAGTTGGTATGGGTTTTGAGTTTGATAGCACATGGTCAGCAGATCCTTGTTCAGCAGGGAAATCACAGTATAAGTGTAGCCAAAGGAGAAAAATGCCACTGGGCTTTCAGTCCCAGTCCCAGTCACTGGGGTGAAGCTGGTTTATAATACCTAAGAGTCTGATCTGTAAACGTTGCTTTGACCTTCCTAGATATTTCCTGTTTTTTTCTTCCATGTCTTGTGGGAAAGTCATCTGTAGGTGGCACCAGACACCACGGAGGAGTGTGGCACACTCAACCTGAAACGGCAATACCATTGCCACTGTGCTTCAAAGAATATTCTTGGTGTTAATAAAATGACTGACATTTTTAATCCTGTATCAGTGCTGATACTGTATTTCAGCTATGTCCATGCTGGGTTTTCCCCTCTGATTTCTCTAGACATCTTCTAAGGCCCCAATCATGGTTTTATTCTAGACAAACATTTATTTATTTGACAAAAATGCAGTCTCATCTAGACAAGTGTTCACTGCAGTCAGGTTAGATTCAATAAATAGTTATGGGCAAAACAAAAATTGAGAGAATGGGTAGCAAATAGTACACTATTTTGTTTCAGCATTTTCAAATAGTTCAAAATTTTCACTACAAATCATTGTACCAAGAGAAAATTCAGCAAAATGCTAGCTGAGAAATTAATACAATTTGTTCTTTAATTTGATACGAAGTTCAATGTTTGGAAGATTTTAGTTTGGAAAAGCAAGTAAGAAAATTTGGATTGACCAAAACACTTGATTTTGTTTTAGGTTTGGTAGAAAAGTGAAACAAAACTTTTGAGTTTTCAAACAGCATTTAACCCTCTGCTGGTCCTTTCGAAGTTTCTTTCACTACCAGTTTTCATCTCACTGTATTTGAATAATGTATCTTTTTAATTCTGGATTTTTGCAGGTAATAGTTAAATTATATGAGATAAAAATAACATGGAATTCCTTATGACAGCATAGGAGAAGTAATAGACCAACAGATTTATTCACTGCTAGAATGATTGGACACAACTTTACTGAGATTGTTATACTGTCTAACATTTGCATTAGTGATGAATTTTTAAAGGATTTCCATTTAGAGTTATTGTCTTGCTAGAAGAGGATTTTCATCTAACTCAGTGTATAAAATATTGTATCCTGGCTGTGCATGCTTTGTTTGCTGAGGCTGGCCAATGAGGTGGGATGAGCTCCCTGCTACACTTCAGGCTGAATTGTCTCAGGTAAAATATTCTCCCTCCTCCACTTTCAAGCAGGACTTCAAATTATGGCTGGGAAATCATCTTGCCTGAAAGATCTGCAGAATGAGTAAATTCCTTGGTGAGGAAATGCATACAGTTCCCTTTAGAGTGGCCTTTATCCAGCCAATTTCACTAGTTCAGGTAAGGAAGATATTAAATATATAAGGAAAATAATGGTTTGTTCTTAGTGAAGTCAACCAAATTGTAGTATAGAGGTACTGGTCTCTGTCAGGTTTTTGTATCTATATTTGTTGGCCAAAAGAAATAAAAAACTTTAATGGATCTGACTCCAGTATTTCATGATGTCTCTTTATATCACACCTGAGCAGTGTAGCTGTGCTCATCTTGTGCTCACTGTTGTTTCCATAGGCAGGGGTTTGGGGCACTGCCCAGGTAATTGCCACCACATATAATGGCAAGTGGCTGGTTTTGGTATGATATGTCATATTCCAGGGTGTGAACATTCAAGTGACCTTCAGCTTTCCTCTGTGTGGGATCTCATGTGAGGCTGTTCCCTTGCAGGTGGTCGACATCATGAGGATGAACGTGGACAAGGTGCTAGAGAGAGACCAGAAGCTTTCAGAGCTTGACAACCGGGCAGATGCCTTGCAAGCAGGTGCCTCACAGTTTGAAACCAGTGCAGCCAAACTGAAGAGAAAATACTGGTGGAAAAATTGCAAGGTAAAGAATATAAATTCTTGTTGAGAATCACTTCATGGCAGGAATACTTTCACTTGCATTTAATTCATTTGCCTGCAGGATGGCATCTCTGAGTCATCTCTTTTTGTCAAAGGGAGAAAGACATGCCTTGCCCTCTGGGCTCCATTAATCAAGCAACGTTGATCTTTACTAGACCCTAAAAATTCTGCAGTATGTAAAATGTAGATACAAATTTCGATGCTTCAGTCAGTGCCTGCAGATAGGGATGGGAAAGCATTCCATGTCAGTTCATGTTCCCTGTGTGAATGATAAAACCTGAGCAGGTGCAGTGAATTCTAGTACTGGAAGAAAAGAAGCTTTGTCCTTGTGGGAGATCATCAACCTCTGGATCTTCCATTAGGATGGTAAACCAAATTAAAAAAAACAACAACTTGGTTTCATAAACTGCTGTGAGAAGTAAGGAAATTACAGTATTTTATAAAGAGGGGCCAATTGGATAGAGCAGGACTTTCATCAACCTTCTCTGCTGTCTTCAAAGTCTTAGCCTTTCCCGAGAGCAGAGGGAATCTCACTCTCCCTCGCTTTTTCAGATTTCCTCCAGTATTTGTGTTTTCTGGACCCACAAACTTCAGCTCCTCTTACTCATCCAAGATCCCATACCCTTGCTTCTTTCTACTTATGCACCACAAACATTAACACTGTGACAAAATTTCAGCTCCATTTCCATTTCTCTTCAAGCTTTGCTGCTGACTACTTGTGTCCACCCACATAAACCCACCTTCTCCCCGGGGAGAATCCCACATGTATCCCTTGCCAGTCTGTTGTCTGCTTTGTCTCTTCAATCCACAGTGCTATAAAGTGTAAAACAAGGCAAAATATTCTGGGTAAACTACATGCACAAACACTCCAGGAATAAGAGGACCTAGGTTAGAAATTCATGTGAGCAGTTCCTCTGGGCCTCTTCTACCTGCTGCCCAGTGCAGGAAGCAGGGCTTCTGGGAGCTACAGGCACAGATTTTGAGTGAGGTTCACCCATGTGACTGCAGTGCCCACAATGACCTACACTACACTAGACCTTCAAACCTACTCTCATTCTCCTTTCCTCATTAGCCCTTCTTGCTTTACCCTGACAAACAGAATCCCCCTGTCCTTCCTCTGGCTCACAAACTCTGGAAGGAGAGGGAAGTAATAAAAAAAATCTGCAAGCCACCGGCTGGCTCTGTCCTTCAGACACATATTAGGAGGAATGGAGGCCTTGATTTGCCATGCTTAGGTTTGTTGGTTTTCAGTCTTTCCATTCTCACTGGGGTAATAATGGCACCTGGACTGCAGCATCCCTGGTGGCCTCGTTAGCATTCAGCAAGTCTCCTGTGGGGGCCTCTACCCCACACAGCTCAGTGCTGGTGTGGTCTGTGCACAGCTGCTTCTGATGTACCTATTCCTGTGGGAGCAGACTTCTGCTTTGCCATGAGTGATTTCCAGGATACAAGCTGGAAACCATGCTGGTTAGCATGGGCTTCCTACAAGTACACAGAGCAGCACCAATAGCTGGGAGGCATTAGACATCTCCAGCTGCCTCTGCACTGCCCCGGGGAACCTGGGGAAGAGTGACCCAGTTACTCTGGTATAAAGTGGTACATGCCACGTGTGAATCCAGTCACTTAAATCACCTTTGGAGTTGTTTTACTTTGGAAACATACTTTTTCTTTACTGCTGGAAATGGATGAGGTTGGTCACTGCATCTTTAGCTGACAGGCAAGAACTGACTAGCTTTGACCATTGCTGGTGGTCAGCTGTTCTTCAGACTGACACTAACTTTGGGGCCTTAACAGTCTGTTACAGTGAGTCTTTTCAAGAATTAAAAGTATGAGGAATGAGTCACTAAGTAAAAGCAAAAAAATTGAGGGGTTAATGTCTTTCATGTGAAAACCTGACTTTCTTTTTTTCTTTCCTATAACTTTCTTTTTCTAGATGATGATCATCCTTGGTGTAGTATGCGCAGTCATTCTCATTATAATTATAAGTGAGTAATTAATTTCTCTTTCATTTATGATCTCAGTAGCTTGTGACTTAAGAAATGCTGCTATATTAAAAACTAAATCAAAACAAAAAAATGGATATAAAATATTTAAACTGATTAATTTGTGAAATTTCCCTTCTAGTATTGTGCTTTTATAGTAAGAATTACTGCAAACTCTCTAGACACATATAGGCAGAATTTGTTGACATTTAATGTTTTTTTACATTAGCATGTTACATAACTTTTCCTAGGATTAAAGACTACCTTTTTATGTTTTATATAAATTTTTATGCACAGTCTCAGAGATCTTCCTTTCATTACAATGAGGGCCACAGTCCTGTGTTTTCTACTGAGAACAGTAATATTTGAATTACCTCATGCCTTAAAAGGAGGGTGAAGCCCCACAGGCAAACAGGCATCTGATGAATTTTTTTAAGTGTGTAGGTGCCTAGTTCCCATCAAATCAGCTGGAATTTGAGATGTTAGAGTGCTTCTGAGGATCCCTTTGTATCTTGAATGCCTAAAATGTTGTTAAAAGATGGCCCAAAGTCTTACTGATTTATTTTCTCAAAAGACATCTCATTCCACATATTTGTTACAGGAAAGTTAGCTATGAATGAATAATAGCAGTCGTGCTGGTTGGGACCCAGGGATCTTGTAATGACAGTAATTGAACATTTCATTTATGTAACCTCTGTGTTAGCAACAGCTGTTATGTGACATAACTGGAATATTGCATTAACTCCTAAGAGGAAGATTTCTTGAGTTAGACAATCCAGCTAGTAACCCAGAAGGGATTCACCAGCACTGTGGATGTGAGTTAATTCCCAACTCTCAAATTACATGCCTTGTATTCAGGGTGTTTCCATTTTCCTCTGTTGCTTCTCTAAAGAAGGCTTACAGAATCACCTGTAAACATGACTAAATGCAATGAGATACATGTGACAGTTTATTAGTCTTATGAATGCTGGCACCAGAGTGACCCAGAATAATTCTAGGGTTTCATAACACTGATACAGCAAGAATGGGAAATGGTTACATATTAATTAATTATATTAACTGGGTACTGAAGGCAACTGGCTTCAAGAGAAAGATGGGCCTTTGTTCTGCAGTCTAGAGCAGCAACCTGGAAAGACAGGTGTGCAGCCATTGAACTAATTGCTGTGTATATACTCATCACTGACCACTGTGTGTATCTTAACAAGAAAGTAAAAACCAGTCAAGATAGCTCATAATTCCTCCTTAGAAGCTAAGACTGAAATTATAAATAAGTAATAATATAGTTTGCCTCCTTGTTTTAAATGTTGGATGCCTGTCCTGCTAAGTTAAGAAACAGCAGGTTTGACATGGGTTAGGTTGGGTTTGGGTATTTAGTCACATACTTTAGTCACTGGACCTTAAGTTCTTTTTCCAGTCTATTTGATTCTTCTGTAATAGTGCCTAAAGGTTGCAGCTTCAGGAAGGACTCTGTGTATTGAACTCAATGCTGTATTTATTTACAGTAGCTCTCAAGTATATGTTTAAATCCTATAGACATCAAGCATCCAAGTGCTTGACAAGTCCTGCATGACTTTTCCAGTCCCTGATTTGAATGGGAACAAGATCATACCCTCTATGCAGGGCTGGCTATGGGTGCAGATAAACTGAGCCATTCCTCACAGCAATGAGCTACCACGTGTGGTGAAATGGCCCAAGCCAGGCTTTCTACCATCCTGGGAGTGGGGCCCTGGAAAAACAGGCACACAACCCATGGCATTGCAGGTGTTGCTGGAGCTGATGATGGCAGCTACCATCACTGTCTGTCCTTGCCCTTTCTATCTTTTGAGCCACAGTCTCCCCTGCTTTCCACTGCAGTTTCCCCTCCAAACTCCTTCTGACATGGGAGAAGCATCCCCATTTCCCCTGGGAAGGAATATTGTGTGTAAGATGTGTTATGCTCTTTTAACTAAGATCTGCTAAAGATGTTTGCAATTCTCTGACATCGCACACTTCTGTAAGATAAAGCACAACAGTAACTCTGTAATAACTGTTGGGTTTTGTCTTTTTTTTTTTAATCTTTCTTTCCTTCTGCTTTGTTTCCCAGTTTATTTCTCCACTTGAAAAAACAAAGAAGGAAGACTTGGCACAACTTTGTTCATATCAACTGACAATATCAGTGTTCCTTTGTTGAACTCCGCTTTTTAATTCCTGGTGTCTTGGGATTTTTGCTTGTAATAACCCATAAGCATTCAGTGTGGTGTATTTTGGAATTCTGTTGTTTCCACAAGAAACTGTACCAGCTAAATACTGCCAAGTAGTTCCATACACTGTCTTATCACTGTGTCTTAAAATGTGTATGCACTGACCTTCAGAAACTGTAGTATATGAAAAGCATCCTAAAACATCTCAGAATCAGAGAATACAGTTATGGGGAAGCTCCTGCTTAAAGGGACACTGTCAGGTGCATTGGACCCAAACCTAAGGTTGCAGCAAACATTAGGGCCTTCTCAATCTGAGCACCTAAAGTTGGATGGCAAAATCCATTGTCAGATGTAACTTTTTGAGGAAGTATCTGCTACTCCCACTGAAGAGAGTGATACCTGCAAGTATTCATGTAAGATATCATAGTTCAACTTAGCTAACCAAACACAGATTTTTTGAGATTAGTTGTAGTATCCAAGTCTAAAACCATTGCCTGCAGAAAGTAAATAAGACTAGTTTATTATCTTCCATGGATTTAAATTTTTCCTTATGGAAAACACCTTATGGTGTTCTGAACAACCAAGATGGCCTCAATATGAAAGCCAGAAAGAAAACTCTACGACAACTAAAAAGCATTAGCTAGTACAATCTTGGAAAATCCAAGTGAAGTGTAAAAATGATAACACAAGCATCATGGATGACTAAGATACAGTCTCTTGCTAAAAACTCAAGGCACTGTTTGTCAGGCTTCATGGGACTCCTGTGAATGCCAAACCCCAATAGTTAGGCCCTGACTTAAACCACATGAACAGCTTTGGTGGTGTCAGTGGCTTCCCAGCACAGCTGTAGGAAGCTCCCTCTGCACCAGTGTGCAGGAATGGTCCCCACTGTGAGGATCGTTCACAAATCAGGAAGAAGAAGGTATGGGGGAATAGTAGAGAGAGGCTGAGAAAGGGAAGGTGCCTAGCAAAGCTTTCCTGGAGAAGAGGAAGGCAAAGAAACACTGTTCAAAGTGGTGGTGTTAATAGGCTTTTAAAAAATTGATTTTGTGTGTGTGTGTGTATAGTTCATAAACTATAGTGTCATCTTTGTAAAGTGCTCAGCTGAGATACCTATCATACTCAATTAGTTTAAACTAACATTTGATGTAATTAAAAGAAATTATATATTGTGGCTTAAGAGAAAGTTCTTGTATGCTTTTGTGAATTTCTTGGGGTTTTATCTTTTTAAAACACTGAATAGCTCAATCATAGTTAACCAAACTAAAAATGAATTATCAAATTTTGAGCCAGGCAATTCAGAAAGGGTCTTTTTAGGGTAACTCCTTCAGAATTTCTAAAAATAATTCATAGAATAAAATATAAATAATTTGGTAGGTTGAGGGGTTTTTTGTCTGCAATTTAATTAGGGAATAGAAATGGTGATAATAGTAGTGTAAATATTTCCACCTTGGAGTCTCTCTCTTGATAGGGTTTAGTTTAAAAACATAGAGCCCCAGACCTGTTTGTTGCAGTGAATCTATATACAAATTGTGCTTAAGCAGAATTTTGAAGAGAGAATAAATAATGCTCAATTGAAAGCTTTCAATTGCATTTTTCCCTATGTATTTATTACTTCATAGTCACATGCACTGTTTTGTGTCATTAAGTAGTAAGTGGCCACAGTCTTAATGAAAGTGAAGGTTCAAAGTTACTAATGTGCCACTGGACTCCGTGGTATGCCCTGTTCACTTCAGTCCTTCAGCTGGGTAAGCACAGAAACAATTCTGAAATCCTCATGGGCCAGACAGAAAACTTGGCTGTCATGAAGGACCTGACACTATGAGGTGACACAGCTGAGTACTGTGTATCATTGAGGCTTCACTGGAAGAGGAATAAGCCATCCAACTTCAGGAAATCTTTTAAACTACTAAGATAATTGGACAGCTGATATGAAAGAATTTTCTCCTAAGGGTGAGTCCTGCCACCCATACCCATGTTGAGCATGGGTTAATCCTCACAGGGCTTCTCTACTGAAAGGATGCACGAGATGAAGACAGCTTTCACTGGAGCTGGTACAATCAGTAAGGTTTCAGGCTGATTTAGAGCCTTAGTGTAGATGTTCCTTCTCCTCTGAGAGCCCGAACTGACTACTGGGATGATAGGGCTGCAAATACACATCCTGAGTTGGAATCCTCTAGCTACAAAGATGCAAAGTTCCCAAATGAAACTGTGGTGAAAGTGCTACAAGGATGCAAAGCTTACATCCTTCTAGCTAATGTAGATGAAGAAAGTTAATAATCCAAGTAGGAGCTTTAGGTGAGAGTGGAGATGGTTGTGGCGGGTGTACTCATTATCTCTCAAAACTGTAACTAACGAGGATGACTCCTAAACCTTAGTGAGAATTTGCAAGGAAGAACCCAGTCAAGAAACCTACCCTCTGGTGGGTTGTAAAATGTTTGTGAAGAGACTATTTCCTCCTGATTGCTAATGAAATATGCTAAATTAATATGTTTAACTCTTTGAAGTTGGTTGCACATAGTGTGCTCATGAATGCTCAATATTTGCTACTAGTTGTGCTGTAGTGGTTGGTTGCAATTGGTAAGATAAACCATGTAAGCTTTCTGATTCAGACCAGGGATCATAAACAAGTGTGTCCTTCCCTGAAACACAGACCCAGAGCTGTACTGCTCCTGCAGAGGGTTAAATCTTCACCAAGGAGCATATGGTAATATAGGACTGTTCAGGGTCATAGGTTGTGTAACAGCATCACATATGTGTAGACTGATGCACAAGACAATCTATATAAACACAGTTGGAGATCTTATGTGTGTTGAAGCCAGGATTGATTGCTTTCTACTCACTGCCTCTGCATTTAAAATGTGCAGTTACAACTGCCTACCTGTAATAGTAAATTTTCCATGAAAAGTTTAACTCATTCTTGTTCAGTCAGCATTGATTAGAATTTCAATTACTGGGTAGAATTTCAACTGCTGCCCTTCATCACTAAATACTGCCCAGGCTCTCACCTTGGGCTGGTTAAAAAGTCACAAAAAGGCTTCCTTTTAGTGACTCCCCAGCAAACCCTCAGAGGACTCCAAGGCCATTGGTTTCTGACTGCCACTTTGGGGACTGAACTGGAGACTCCTCTGGTTGGAAGCAATGCTTTTGATAGCTTCAGCCAGAGTTTGACATTGCTTTAGATTTGCATATTCCATCCTTATAAGAAGCACTTCCTCTGCTTTCTGGGCCATCTAGCTGTACACATCTGGGATGCTGTACAGCATGAGCTGCCATTCAGACACAGCACTGCTGAAAGGAGGTGGTTGGGAGCTGGTCAGTGCCTGTACCATGGCTGCTGTTTGGCTTGGCAGTGATCCTATGTCAGCATCTGAGCTTGAGGATGTGCTATTTGCATCCACTGTGCACAGGCTAGTGAGGTCCTGCTTGGGCATTACACTTTCTCTCTAATTTAGCTTACCTTGCAGTAATATAGACGTGGCTTTAAACCTACAAACATTGTTACACAGAACTTGGCAGGAGAACGTAGAGTGGAACCCATATGAGGTACTTGACCTGATTTTCACTTGACAACATTATGTAACAGCACAGTCAATCCAACATAGTCCAACGTAATCCAATACTATTAGAAGGAGGATGGGAGAATCTGATAAAGATTCTGACTCTAACCTGGGGTTTGTAAGGCAAGAATTGATTTAGAAATGTAGTCAGTTGTATTTTTAAAGCTGGCACTTTCATTCTATTGGAACCTGGATGAGGTTAGCCCTGGAACAGTTCAGACAAGTAAAATAATTGTTTGGGGTTTTTTCTTTTTAAATAGTGATCTGCAATAAGTGACTTAAACACTCACAATGATGGAAGAACAGGACAGTATTAACTGTGCAAGGAATGAATTAGAACAGCCACAATCTGCTGGTTTTGTATGAGTAGCAAGACCTTTTGAAATTCTACCATTTCTGTGTCTCATTTCTGTCACTGCTCCTCTGACAGGGCTTCACATAACTTTAATTTTATGAACAACCAGACTACTTCTTGTCTGAATACAATTGATTTTAGCTCTTAAGAGCAAGTTCCTGACTTGACATCAGTATTAGAGCATGCCTGCAAAATGGAGATGTGCATCTACCACAGCAGACTCAAATTTCAGGAACTTTCAGAAGCTCAGATGTTACTCAACTCTCATGTTTTACAGAGTGAATTTTTCTCTATTCCATGGGACATTATCCACAGAGTGGGAATACATGTAATCTATTATTTTTTAATGACAGCACCGTGATTGCATATGTTAGTGCCAGACCGTCACAAATAAACTAGAGAGCACTTGGGTATGATCTCAGTCCTGCTTCTCCTGCCCTTTAAACAGGGAAGAAGGCTAAACCAGCAGCCATATAAGGCACTGGGCTTCCTCCCAATGTACACAGTGAGTATTGGAGAAAGGCTTCAAAGAGACCAAAGTCTCTTTGCTCTGGATTTTGTCTTGACCTGAACTTTAGACCCGTAACAGATCATAACCTTTGGGCCCACTGTAGTCAGAAGACTGAGATGCTCTTCCAGCCAGTTCTTCCTCTCACCTGATTTAGGCCCCTCTTGCCAGACAAGATACATTTGAGCATGTGTTTCTTCATGGAAGACAAAGCACAAGCACCCTCCAATTACCTTCTTTAAAAGCAAAACAAAAAAGGCTGAAGAAAGTAGTTTGAAAAAAAATGAATTGGTGCTAGAGAAATGATTGGCTGAAGGTTTCTCAAATGGTAACATTATTTTCAGGAGGAATACTAGGTTGGGATGTATGAAACAATCAAACCAGAACCTTACATTAACTGTTCTTTCTGCATCTGGTCTCCTTCAGAAATACTTCTCTATTCCACTTTAGGAAAGGATTTTGTTTTCTTCAGCTGGCTTCCCTTCCTCTGTTCATTAATATGTGTCAAAATTGATGTGCTCAATAGCTTTTTTTCTCCATTGAGAACCATAAGACTCTCTGCCTTTAAACACATGCATAAAAAGATATCTGAGCCACCCAAGGAGTTTACCTTCCTTTCTGATGCATTGACATTTAAAAGCTACATCTTGCAATAAAGCAGAAAAACTGTGGCAGTCTGGTTACATGCAGTTTTGGTGGAGTAAACACTTGATTATTCAACAATGAGTCATTCCTGCAGTAACCTCATTCTGTCATGACTGTATCACATCTGCTAACTCTCCAAAGCAAAACCCATAACCTGTACTGGTTTAAAACATGAATACAGCCTTGTAGTTCATACATAACACTCTATTCAACCAAAGAAGCCATGTGCTATAAGTTTAAAAGGGCAAAGTACTTGTTCTCCGAGAGAAAATATCATATAAAACAACAAAGACAATTAGGAAAAAAAACCTTCTCCATTCTTTATCTCTTCTCACAGTGTCTGGTTTCTTCATTATTCAAGTCTCTCTTTGTTCTCTTAGAAAGCCTTCATGTTTTTGGAGTGTAGTGTGTTTGGAACATGGTATATTGGGGCCAGGATTGTTCTACCCTCTCAGTTGACTCCCTGTCTTCTGCCACATTCTTATTGTTGAGCTCAGTCCAAGCTCAGGTAGGCCTTGAATGGAGCAGAATCTCTTCCCCATAATGCCCTGCTGTCCTCAAACCAGCCTTCACTCTCTGGACAAGAACACTGGAGGCAGAATATGCCTCCTGGGTCTTAATTTGGTTCAAAATTACGTGATACAAAAGAAGGTTGCTGGCTGTAAGAAACAGCATTTTTACTCCACTACTTTAAATTGTATCACTGGAATTTTAGTTAAATGTATTTAACACTTCTTGTAACAATAATTTCATCAATTTTGTTGAAAAGAGAGGAAACAGCAAATAAGGATAGTGTGGTAATGACAATATAGTAAATTGGGAAATGGTTTAAGTGAAATGTAGCCAACATTCAGTAAACTCCTTTTATAAGTGGCTCTACCTAAGAGCACCTTTTGTATGTTAAAATTAAGAGGTGCTCATCTATTGAAGTAAATTTACCTACTTAAAATGAACTATGACAGATGGTTAAGGTTTTTTTCCTTGAAAATGCAGGAGATATATGCAGGAAGGATGATCTAACATTTTTTGCAGAGAATGCCATTTTGCTTAGAGTGCCATTGGAGTATCCAAAGACATGCTGCAGAAGTGGTCAAGGACTTCAGTCAAACAGGACTTCAGAGCACTTGGTGCAGTAACAATATACCCTGAGTGCCCACTTTGTTCCACAGGTCTCTGTAATGGAATCTTTTTGACACAGCATGATTATTTTGCTTACCCTCATTCCACTCTGGTATTTACACTTGTCCACCAATAAATGCTCTAAGCAGAGGACAGAAAATGACTTTGCTGAGTCCACTACATTCCTGTCATGTAGATGTGAACACATGGTGATGGTCCAAGCTTTCTGTAATGAAAAGTTTAAAAGAATTAAATCAGTTTCTCCCCCTGATACATTACAGGTTTGTTTAAAGACAGAGCAAATAATGGCAGCTGCAATTATTTTCTTTGTAAGATCAGTGATTGAGATACTGCACGTAATGGAGCTACAAATTCATAGATGCACAATGCATAAACTTTATTTTTTTCAGAAGTTTAGCTATTAATTTTTATAGTATTGACCTGAAAGTTTGCAACAATTTCTTTATTAGTAAAAGTAGTTTTGGCTGACACCAGAAATTCGGTGGTCAGGGTGTCTACCATGCCACTAGCAAGCTACTAAATAATGCAAGGTCAGGCTTTCATGAAGCTTAAAGGGAAAAAAATATTCTGAATACAAGTAGAAATGTATGGTAAAGACCATGGGTATAGAGTTTAACCATTACTTTATTTAACTATTATTTAAGGAATTAGCAGCTAAACAAATGGTCAAATAATTAGCTTCCAAAGCCTAATTATAGATGACAGAATATTTTTTTCTCATTAAAAATGCTTACTTCAATCTATGTTACATTTACTTTTTTCCCAAACAGTAGAATGCTAGTGTTGCTATGACACAGTCACAGGTTTGCACAATAACATATTACAGATAGCCCACTACTTGTCATGAAAAACATCGTTATTTTGTCTTGTAAATGAAAAGTCCTCCATCCCCCAACCACATACGTGGTAAAATATTAGTCACTTTACACTTATCAGCATCACTGAAAGATTAGAAATTAGTGCCTCCTACTCATGAGCAGGACTTGAAAACATGCTTTATCTGTTGCAAAAATACATTCTGAGGGGGAAAACACCAACTGTTGTAGAGGT